CCAACAAACCACCTCCACTCTGAGCTCCCTGGTGTGACTCTCAGAGGACACAGCCCACAATGCCACCCCCCGACCTCCATCGTCCATTAGCCCCTTCCCCCACTAGGATATGGCTTCTGCAGCTACCCCACCAAAGGACTCAGGAATCCAACTGTGGCTTTACCCCCCACCCCACCCCCACCCCCAGACTCTCTCTCTTCACAGGCAGCATTTGAGAATGTGGCGTTCTCCTTCCCTGAAATTTCTACTCCCCAGGTTCTGAGACTCCATTTGCTCCTGCCTCCCCTCCATCCCATGTGCCTCTGAAGTTTTGATTCTTCCTACTCAGGCACCCAGGCTTCCTTCTGCATCTCAGATGGTGGTATTACCTGAACCCTCACTCTACATCCATTTCCATTACCATAGCATCAGCCCTCACCTCTGACTGATAACCCCCAACTGATATTTCTACTTGTGACTTCTTTCTTAAACATGCATATATACAGCTCTCTATCTATCCATCCACCCACCAACCCTTCCGTCCATCCGTCCACCCATCCATCTATCCATCCATCCATCCACCTACCCACCCATTCATCCATCCACCTGCCCTTCCTTCGTCCCTCCCTCCCTCCCTTCCTTCCAGCAAATATTTTCTGAGTACCTACTATGTGCCCAGCCCTGGGCTAGGAGCTAAGGACACAGCAATGAAGAAATACCATGTCCATGCTACTTATACCCTGCTGCCAACTAGACAGCTCTCCTGGGCTGTTCCCAGGCTCCTTGATTCACCAAGACCCAAACCAAACTCTCTGCTACCCCCCTGCACCATGAAACCCACTTTTACTCTCTAGGACCCCTGCCGAGATATAGCAATTAGCAAAATCAGAAATACGGGGACATCCTAGACTCCTCTCCTTCACTCTTCACAGAGCCAAGTCCATACCGGTTCTTGCTCCTGCATTCATCTACACCCCCAACTCCACACCACAGTCCTGGTGCAGGACATTATAATTTCTTGCCTTAATTCCATTGCAGCTCTCCAGTGAGGAGATGGTTAATCTCCACTGTTCAACCACGTTGCGCCCCCCGGATCTGTTTTCTGCCCTTCCCGCTGGGCTCTGTGCCCCAGGAGGCTGATTCTCAGGGGCTCTATCACCTGGCTTCCTTTGCTGTCTGGCATCAGTTGCATTTGGCCACTGGGAGGCGCCGCAGGAGATCAGAGGGTGCAGGAGGGAAGGCGGGGTATTGGAGGTAATCCCGTTTCCCCGTGCCCCTCAGCAGCCCTGCCCTCTCGCTGCCCCCCTGGGGCTCTGGCAGTGGTCTCCTTCACCCCGGGCCTGTGACGTCACTCGTCATTCATCACTCCCTAATCCTCAGCCGAGGGGCAGCTGCGCCCACAGTAGCTAGATCCAGCTGCTCTGCCTGGTTGTGCTCCGAGCGCGGCACAGATCTCCGGAGACAGTCTCTGTCTGGAATTACCTTAGATTCTTTTGAGTGTGATCTCCCTTTCATGCCAGAATCTTGACTCACAAGGCCTCCCACAGGCAGTAGGGGAAATTCCACGCGATATACTCTCGAGCTTGTTCATCCACATGTTTGCCTTCCCTCCGCTGCTGTTGGAGCCCTGGATGTGCAAGAGCACCTTCCTTCCTCCCTCCCTCCCTCCCTCCCTCCTTCCCGAATCCTTCCCTCCTTCCCTTCCTTCCTTCCTTCCTTTGTAGATTTTCCAGGAGAGAGGCTTCCCTGGGTCTAGCTCACTGCTCTTTCAAACAATGATTTATTTCTTATTTTTTAAACATTTATATATTTTTGAGACAGCGAGAGAGAGGAGGGGGGAAGAAGAAGAGGGAGAGAGAGGGAGAGAGAGAATCCTAATCAGGGTCTGTGCTATTAGCGCAGAGCCTGACGCAGGGCTTGAACTCACAAACTATGAGATCGTGACCTAAAATCAGGAATCCGATGCTTAACTGAATGAGCCACCCAGGCACCCGACAAACAGTAATTTAAAAAAAAAGTCTTTTTTCCTCCAGGGCGCCTGGCTGGCCCAGTCAGTAGAATATGTGACTCTTGATCATGGGGTCATGAGTTCTAGCCCCATGTTGGGGGTAGAGTTTACCTTAAAAAAATTTTTTTTTGGTAACGTTTATGTATTTTTGAGACACAGAGCGTGAGCTGGGGAGGGGCAGAGAGAGAGGGAGACAGAATCCAAAGCGGGCTACACACCGACTTCAGAGAGCCCCATGCAGGGTTTGAACTCAGTTTGTGAGACTGAGACCTGAGCCAAAGTCAGATGCTTAGCTGAGTCACCCAGGTGCCCCCAAGAATTTGCTTTAGAAAAAAAATCTTTTTTGGGGGAGCCTGGGTGGCTCAGCCGGTTAAGCATCCAACTTTGGCTTAAGTCCTGATCTTGCGGTTTGTGAGTTTGAGCCCCCGTCGGGCTCATTGCTGACAGCTCAGAGCCTGGGGCCTGCTTCAGATTCTGTGTCTCCCCGTCTCTCCGCTCCTCCCCTGCTCAGTCTTGCTCTGTTTCTCAAAAATTAATAAACATTAAAAAACATTTTTAATAAATAAATAAAAATTTTAAAATCTTTTTTTCCCCGGGACATCTGGATGGCACAGTCAATTGAGCATCCAACCTTGACCCAGGTTGTGATCTCACAGTCCATGAGTTTGAGCCCCGTGTTGGGCTCTGTGCTGACAGCTCAGAGCCTGGAGCCTGCTTCAGACTCTGTCTCTCTGTCTCTCTCTGCCCCTCCCCTGCTCAAGTTCTCTCTCTCTTTCTCTCTCAAAAAGGAAAAAAAAAAACATTAGAAAGATTTTTTTAAACCTTTTTCTCCTTCAGGCAATGGGAAGTTGTATCATTAAATACTCCTTTGGGTGCAAGCGACAAAAACCCAACTCAAAGTAGTTTAAGCAACAGCACTGACTCGCACAGCGGGACTGTCCAAAGCTTCCGCTCTGGCGGGTCCAGTGTCTCAGGTCTTGGCAGCAGGACCTGACATCTGTGGCTGCGCTTTCTCGGCTTATTGGCTTATCATTGCCCTCAAGCAGTCTCTCTTCATCGAGGTCTTGAGAAGCCCCAGCTAATATCCACTCAGGTTCAAGTCCGGCAGGAAACAAAGATTCCTCAACAGATTTGACGACAGTCCATATAGTCCTTGGCCTAACTTTTTTTTGTCTACACTGGTCACATCGAACCAATCACCTGGGCCACGGTGGCAAACTCTCTGTCCCCGCAATCTTTGGAGGTGGGGGAGGGCGGGTATGCTGGACGGACACCACCAATGCATAACTGTTGCTTTTTGCTCACTGGCTCATTAGGGTTAAGTGAAAAATGTTTTGGCTGGGGCCTGGCTTGTAGTGAGTTCTCCCACAAATGTACGGCCACATCTTCCCCTCCCAGAAATCAGCCCAGAAACTCTTATCCGGAGAGGGTGGATGTGTCTGAGGGTAGAGACAGGCTTTATCTTTTTAGTGCAGCTCCTTTCCTAGCACAGGATCCCCATACACACCCTGTGAAACATTCTGGACTCTTTTTTTTTTTAATTTTTTAATGTTCATTTATTTTTGAGAAAGAGAAAGACAGAATGTGAGCAGGGGAAGGACAGAGAGAGAGGGAGACACAGAATCCAAAGCAGGATCCAGGCTCTGAGCTGTCAGCACAGAAGCCCGATGAAGGGCTCAAATCCAAAAACCCTGAGATCATGACCTGAGCCCAAGTCGGATGCTCAACTGACTGAGCCACCCAGGCACCCCTGCATTTATTTCTATTTATTTGTTTATTTATTTATTTATATAGTTTTTAATGTTTATGTTTGAGAGACAGAGACAGTGTGAGCAGGGGAGGGGCAGAGAGAGAGGGAGACACAGAATCCAAAGCAGGCTCCAGGCTCCAAGCTGTCAGCACAGAGCCGGACGTGGGGCTCGAACCCACGAACCACAAGACCATGACCGGAGCCAAAGTCAAGATGCTTAACCACTTAACCTGAGCTACCCAGCTGCCTCCCTGCATTTGTTTTTAAAGAGGGAATTTTTTTTTTGAAGCACAACTTGCTTTTTTTTTAAGCTTTTATTTATTTAACTTTAGTAATCTTCACACCCAACATGGGGCGTGAACTCAGAACCCTAAGACCTGAGCAGAAGTCAGACGCTTAACCAGCTGAGCCACCCAAGCGCCCCAGTTTACAGGCTTCCATTGTAAGCAAGGCTGCAGTGGATATTGGGGTCAATGTGATCTCCTGTGTAGAACCTTTCTGGGTCAGATCCTCGACGTGGGACTGCTGGTCCATGGAAGACAGATCGTGGCAAATGTTTTTGACAGTGGTTTCTTGGCTGTTTTCGATTTTGTTTTTTCAAAGATTTAGGTAGGATTGTGTGGGAAAGCCTGCGAATCTCCTAGTGAACGTTCTCCAGGCTCCTTCCAGCGAAAGGGAGTCACAGTGCGCCCTCTGGTGGCTGCTTTCTCCACTTACAGGCAACAAGGTCCAGAACTACAAGACCCCAAGCCCACCAGGGCCTAGAAAAGCCACAACAAAGGAGGGTTACACCGTCGCCGGGGCTGGCTGGGCAGTTTCAAGGCCACTCCCCACCAGATGCACTACACCATTTAGGTCACACAAGTAAAGGGTTCCTTGCAAGAGTAATTTTAACACGGTAACGCAAGAGTGACCAAAGGGAGCCTTTTTATCGTAGAAAAAAATTGTCTATGTGGAGGCATAATTGATGCATAGCAAACCATGCATTAAAAATGTCCAGTGGGTGCTCCTGGGTAGCTCAGCCTGTATTTTACAGATGCTCCTGTGGGGACTGGGGCCATGCTCCAGCGTCGAGCACGTCCCCGTTTCTGCAGTGAGGCCGCAGAATTTCTCAGAATTTCTCACGCTATAAACAAGACCTGTAAATAGCCTCAGATCAAGTTTGCCCTGAGCGGGTTGCTACAAACTTACCAAAAAGAATTTGGTTTCCCAGGGCCTCCTGGATTGCAGAATGATAGACTCATTGTGTCTCTTATTTTACAGCGGAAGAGGCAGAGATATTAAGTATCGTGTGCAAGGCCACCCAAGGAAGCACTCACTCCCTGCATCCTCACTTGTCTGCCTGCCGTGAACCACATAGTCTTCCGGGGACTGGGGAGCCGGAAGTGAGCAAGACAGATGGCCGCTTTCTCTGTGGAAGCCAGTGTTCACACACAAAAACTGTGAGTGTTCCTAGCAGCATGATTCACAGCAGCCAAAAAATGGAAACGATCCAACTGTCCATCAACTGATGCAGGATACACAAAATGTGGTCCATCCGTACAATGGAATATTGTTCGGCCATAAAAGGAATGGAGTACTAATGTGTGGATGAAACTTGGAAACCCCACGCTCAGGGAACTTTATGCTAAGCCAGACACGGCATGCACACCGTATGACATAGAGGGTTTTATAAGAAGTGTCCAGAATCGACAGATCCATATAAAGTAGATCTGTAGTTGCCTGGGGCTGGGCGGTTGGCGAGAAAACGGATGATGATTGCTATTGGGACAGAAGGATGGAAATGTCCTAAACTCGAGTATGGCCACGAGGGCACCGCTATGTGAATATACGAACAAGCGCTGGTGTGTCCGCTCTCAGTGGGTGACTTGTATGGTGTGAAGTGTGTCTCAATAATGCTGTTTTAAGGAGAAATAGATGCTCCTGGAGTTGAGGACAGATCAATAAAGAGAAAAATACGATCAATTTTTTTCCCCAGAAGTCGCAGCCCGCTGGAGACATACACTTGAAACACGTGCAGTTTTGCTGAGCACTGGTTCCCTACATACTCCGTGTGCAGTCCAGTAGCACACCGGGTTCCGGCCCAGCGCCCGCACGCTCAGCTGGCTTTCTGCTAAGAGATCGTCTCACTCTGGGATTCGTTAGTCAGGGTGTTACAGAGAAAGAGAAATAAGAGGGTTGTGTGTGTGTATATATAGAGGTATGTCTATATATACGTAGAGAGAGAGAGAGCTTTTTTTAAAAAGTTTATTTTTTAATGTTTTTTACTTAGTTTTGAGAGAGAGAGAGGCAGCGTGAGCAGGGGAGGGTCAGAGAGAGAGGGAGACACAGAATCTGAAACAGGCTCCAGGCTCTGAGCTGGCTGTCAGCACACAGCCTGACGCGGGGGCTCGAACCCACGAACTGTGAGATCATGACCTGAGCCGAAGTCGGATGCTTAGCCGACTGAGCCACCCAGACGCCGCAATTTTTTTTAAGCTTTTAAATAATGTTTTACTTATTTACGTTGGGTGGGGGGAGAGAATGAGCAGGAGCAGGGGAGGTGCAGGGAGAGAGAGAGAGAATCCCTAGCAGGCTCTGTGCTGTCAGCGCAGAGCCGGATGCAGGGCTCGAACTCCCAAACTGTGAGATCACGATCTGAGCCAAAATCAAGAGTTGGATGCTTGGGGCACCTGGGTGGCTCAGTCAGTTAAGCATCTGACCTCTGCTCAGATCAGGATCTCATGGGTTCAAGCCCCACGTTGGGCTCTTTGCTGACCGCTCTAAGCCTGGAGCCTGCTTCCGATTCTGTGTCTCCCTCTCTCTCTACCCCTCCCTTGCTCATGCTGTCTCTCTCTCTGTCCCTCTCAAAAATAAATGTTAAAAAGTTGGTTTTATTTTTTATTTTTAAAATGTTTAAATGTTTATTTTAGAGAGAGAGAGACAGCATGAGCAGGGGAGGATCAGAGAGAGAGGGAGACACAGAATCCGAAGACAGGCTCCAGGCTCTGAGCTAGCTGTCAGCACAGAGCCTGATGTAGGCCTCAAACCCACGAACCATGAGATTATGACCTGAGCCAAAGCTGGACGCTTAACCGACTGAGCCACCCAGGTGCCCCAAAAAGTAAAAAGTTGGTTTTAAAGATGACGTCAATGGAAACCCAGGGTGGTTCAGTGATGTGGTAATGCTGTAACGGGGTCTGAGTTGAAGTCAGCCTACAGACTGCTCAGGTCCCAGGGCATTTAGAGCTTGATTTGTTTGTTTTCTGTCTTTTTCTGTGAGTTGGCGAGACTGCAGTACAGCCTCCCTCACTATCTAAAGCGGAGTCCTCATCCTGAGGGTCTGGGTGCTCCCTTACCTAATAGGCCGCCAGCCAGCCAGGACAGGGGCATCTCCAAGGAGTAGATGGGGCTCCTGGACTCAGAGTCAGTCCCTTGCCCCTTTGCTGGAGCTCATCTCTGCCGCCCAAGCCAACCTGAGCTGAGGCTCCAGCCTGCTTCTCAAAGTGGGGCTCCTGGGGGCCTCGCGGTGGCTTATCTTGCCCAAGCATCAGAGCTTTACAAACACTAGATGGAAACACAGACGATGCAGAATGAAACATTCACATGAGGTTTTCACCCTAAAATGCAGAGCTTAAACCTGTGCACCCCAAGCCCAAGGAGACGCACATCTCCGTCTTCTGCTTAACTTTGGGGGTGTGTTGGTGGGGAGTTGGGGGGCCGCTGTGCTGTGACTTCATTCCCTGTTCCAGGGCCGCGCTGGGGTGCCCTGAAGGTCAAGTGAGAAAATATGTTCAAAGCACTGGGTGTGTGGAGGACCCTTAAGATTCCATTACTCTTCTTCCCCCCTCCCCGTGACCTTGCAAATGTCTGCTAGGAGGGAGGCCTGCCGGGCCAGAGGCGGGGTCTCCAGAAGGGGCTCCTAAGGCTCACTAGGGTCGTGATTCTGGCTCCTGTCCTGTGACCCCGCCACCTGCACCTGAAATCAAGGGCTCCGCAGAAGAGCAAAGCTTTGGAGAAGAGGGAGGACTGTGGAAGGAGGGAAGACGGAGCAGAGCCAGTGCCTTGGGAAATGGTGTCTTAGCCCAACAGTGAGCCAATTTTTTTTTAATGTTTTATTGATTTCTAGGAGAGAGAGAGAGAGAGAGAGAGAGAGACAGCGTGAGGAGGGGAGGGTCAGAGAGAGAGGGAGTCACAGACCCTGAAACAGGCTCCAGGCTCTGAGCTGGCAGTCAGCACAGAGCCCGACGCGGGGCTCGAACCCACGAACCGCGAGATCATGACCTAAGCAAAAGTTGGACACTTAACCGACTAAGCCCCCCAGGCGCCCCCCAGCGGTGAGCCAGCTTGCTCAGTGTGACCTCCATTTGTCCTTGATCTACACATCTGCTCCCTTCACCCCAGTACCGGTCTTCAGGCTCTTACCTGTACGCCCTTTAACCTGAATTTGACCCCACCTGTCAAGAACTTTACCTCTACCTTCCCTGGTGCATCCAGTTCAACAGAGCGGCACCACTGCAATTTTTGGTCCTCGAATGTCAACAGAGAACAGCTGTCACACCTTTCGGTATTTACTCGGCACCTACCACGTGTTTGAGCACGTGGCTTCCACAGGTGAGCCAGAGCTCATTCACCAGCCGGTGTGGCCCAGCCCAGAGCCCCGAGATAACGGTCAGAGAGGGGATGACAACTGTGTAGCAAGTGGCCATGGTCAGGGGGAAGGGCAGAGGTGCCTGCCTGCCTGAGCTGGGGACGGAGAGCATGGTACGTAAGCCCAGGTCGGCGAGGACCATCCTTGAAGGGGGGTGGGAACTGTCGGGCAGGCCTGCTTGGGGACAGCAGAGCCAGAGCAGCAAAGCAGAGCCGCTCAGGACGTCCAGGACCCGGCGTGTGGCCCAATGTATGTCCAGGGAGCGGGAGCCATGCGGTGTCGCGAGCTGTACTTGGAACCATGGCTGGACGTGTTACCCCGGCAGGCAGCGACTGAGGTCGTAGGGCCAGGGTGGGGCCGGCGGGGAAAACGTAGAGGTGGGGCTGAGGCCCGGGCGGCAGAGGGTTCCGGAAGACTGAGAAGCCACACGGTCGCTCAGGGAATGGTGTTGTAGTAACTGAAGGACGAGGCAAAAATCGAAACCACTTTTTCATTTTTTAAATCAAACACTTTATTTTCCACATAACAAGCGCAAAAAACTCCCAAACACGTTAACAATTACAATTAACGCAGTTATGAATTCAATTATATTTACTACTCAAAGCCCCAAAAGGTCAATCAGCTTAACGTTCCAAACATTTCCAAACGTGGTTTTTCAAAGCTACCTTTGGTTTTTGGAAAAACCAGTATGGAAGTCAATATACACTGAATGCGCTGAACGACATTTGCTTATAGGAGGGTGTCCGGCGGCGGCGCACACCCGGCGAGCTGGAGGGTGATGTGGAGTCACACATGGAAACACACACACAGGTTTGCCCCCGGGCGCCCGCGGTCGGGACAGAGGGCCGTGAAGGGGGGAGGAAAAGGCCAGTCCAGGTGGTGGCATTTCTTGTTTCGTAACAGAGGTATGAGAGTGTGACACTAGAACGCTGTCGAGTCATTAAGCTTCATGTTCCAAATGGTCTCCTGCGGAGGCTTGAGGTGGGCACACGTGGTGGGGAGATGAAGTCACAGAAGAGCTTTGAGCATCAAGATCCCAAAAATGCTCAAAGAGGGTAGGAAGGAGCAAGCTACAGTTTCCCATTGTTCTCACATTATTTCAGGGTGAAATTGTGGACAAGTTCGGGTAGAAGGTTCAAATATTTGCTTAGGTTTTTACTCGGTTGCTCTCTGAGGACCCTCATACACAGCAACGTTGAAACGTTCATTGTAAAAAAAAGGGCGTACAAATAAATTCACAAAAAAGAGACAATTAATGTTGAGCAGCCAAAAAGTCATGGTTTATTATATTGGAAGGGATTTCATAATTCAAACACAACCAAACTGTACATTTTACAATCACATTCTATTTGTAAACAGTTAAAAGCCACTGACTTCTTTTGCATCTTAGGACACAAACAGTTAGCATCAAGGCAATGAAATGATGGCAAATTCTGCGCTGTTAAAATGTTTACCCTCGTTTGGCCCGTCTTCTTTGACTAAGCAAGCATTATAATACCATTTGTGGGCAAAAAAAGGTGGGGGGGGGCAAGGAGAGAAAGGAAGTTTAAAAACGGTGTAACTCGTTAGTTTGCAACAACATTTAAAATCTTCTTTATACAACAAACAATTCTGTGAGCCCAATACCTTGGCTACAGTATGCATAGTTACTGATTTTCGGCTTTAAGGTACAACAGTTCAACATTAACACAGTCACAAGAGAGCAGAAACAAAGAGAGAGCCACTTGATGGGATTACAAAAAAATTATCACCTATTGATTATTAGCAAACCATCATCACTCACTAATAAAAAGACAGCATCTGAAAGCAGAATGTCGACTCCAGCTTCAAGCGTTTTTTTTTTTGTTTTTCGTTTTTTGTTTTTTTTTTATTTTTGGCAGAGAAAATTCTTTAACAGAGCAATGTGTAGTATCAGTGCTAAAAGTCAGGATTTTCTTTTTTTTCCTATAAGAAACTACAAGGAGTTTTTTTTTTTAATTTTTTTATTTTTTCCTAACTGGGGAACTGGTTTTCCTGAGAACCATGCTCTTCGATTTAGGACAGGAATAGAAAAACAAAAGAACATGGCCAAATGCTGCTCCTTTTTCCCAGAGATAGAAAGCATCTTGTAAATCATCCTCCATTTTTTTTGTCTTTTACATTTTTTTTAAATGATGGAAGAGTAAACATTTTTTTTTCTCAAAAAACAAACAAAAAAAATCTGTAAACAAGAAGGTTCAACGTGGGAACCTTCAAAACAAAATGGAAAGCCTATTCAAAGTGCAGGGCCCGCCCTGGGTGGCAGGCGGGCTGCAAGTCACAGCTGTGGCCACAGTTTTTCAAACTGCAGAG